CACGCATTTCAATTCTCTCTTCCTCACTCACGTCTCTCATCTCACTCTCCCTCATTCACTGACTTAGATCTCTCTAAGTCTCACCACCACTTCTCTCATCTCTCTCTCCCTCACTCACTTAGATTTCTCTCATTTCTTATCATCATCAACATCATCCAGATCCACTACCACCACCGATCTGAACAGATCGGTGAAGCCACTGATCTGAAGCCACCACCATCACTGATTCCTCCGTTGCCACCGATCTGAAACACGACCATGACCAAAACCGTGAAACCATTGATTGATGTCTTGATCAACGGACCATGAACAGATTGTGGTCCGATTGATGCCTTGATCAACGGACAGATCGTGTAGCCCCCCATCTCTCTCTCTCTCTCTATATATCTATTGTTTATTGATGAACAATTTTTTTTTTCTCCAAATTGTTATCTATATTATATCTGTTGTTGTTTGTTGTTGTTGATGAACAATATTTTATCTGTTATGTGTGTGTATGTGTGTGTGTGCGTGTGTGTGTGTTGAACAGATCTGTATATATACAGATTATTTTTTATTTTTTTTTTTTGTTCTTGTGTTTGTATATGCATTGAACAAATTTGCTGGGAATTTCTCAGGGTCGGGGAAACCCGATCCCCGTTAGGAGACGGGAACGAGAGGGGTGAAGGGTTCCCTACCAGGGATCGGCAGCGGGGGCTGAGGCGGAGGCGGGGCCGGGGATTTTGTTACTGTTGGGGATTAGGGACGGGAAGGGTCATCCTCGGCCCCGTCCCGCCCCGCCCTGCCCTGCCCCGCTCCGTTGCCATACTTAATGAGGGCCTCCATTTTAGAAAAGGGTTAAAGCCAAAATAATCAATAAAAATGAAAAATATTAAAGGAAACAAGGGCCTCCCTTTTAGAAAACAGTTGTGCTACGTAGCCCGAAATACTTGGGCTTGAATGGCCCGATTTTATTAGTATTATTTTTTTCCTTGCCTTCCTACGCAGTTTCCTCTATCTTTCTCTCAAACAAAATTCCACAATCCAAAACCAAGATCCAAAATCAATCCCAAAATCAAAAACATAATCAGAATCAAAATCAAAATCAAAATAAAAAAAAAAAAAAATCTATACAGATATTCCAAATATACACAAATCAAAATCTAAAATCAAAATAAAAAACAGAGGAAGACGGAGAAGAGCAGAGAAAGAAAGAAGAAAAAAACAGAGCAAGAAGGAGAGGAGGAAGAAACAGAAATCTGTGTATACATAGATCTATACAGCCCATCGTCCCTCAAGCCCATCGTCTCTATCATCATCCATCGTCTCCATCTTTCTCCCTCCAACCCATCGCCTCCCTTGTTCCCTCTTCTCTTTTTCTTCTCTTTTCCCTCTTCCCTATTCTCTGTTTCAGCGAGAAGAAAGAGAGGAGAAAATATATATATATATATATATATATATTCAAAATGATGTCATTTTGAATTTCGGGGCAATCGAGCCTTGAAATTTCGAGCTGTCAAGTATTATTCTTCAAATGATTGAATTGAAAATTCAAAAGGGTTCGTTTGGAATGCTGGGTTGACTTTTTAGTTTTTTGACCTGGGGTTAAAAAGTTTTTATTTGGGATGAACTTTTTGATTTTTTTAACTTTTGTGAGAGTAAAAATAAAATAATTATGATTTGGATGTGACATGTTGTCTTATTGACTTTTTTGTCTATTTTATTTTTGTGACTATTTTAATAAAAAAAATCCGATATTTTTTCTTCTCAAACAAGGGCTAAATAGTCTTTTGGATTTTCATCTGTCAAATTATAATTTGCGAAAGTAAATCAAACTATAAATAGGTTTGAAAGTTATGCAAAATTATTCAAAAATGGAGCAGTAAAAAGTCCGTTTGGACCGAGTCGTTTACAAAGAAAAGAAAAGAAAAGAGCCTGCAATGGTTTAATTTTTGAAAAGAAATTGGAATTGTATTTTAAATAATAAGTTGTTAAAATTTTTTTTAAAGATTAAAAATTTATTTAGTTATGAGTTTTAAAAATAATTTTAGGATGATTTGTAACTTCTTTTTTTTTTTAAATTTTTTTTGTAATTGAATATATAGGTGTAAGAAAATTTAATAGATTGATATATAAAATATGAGAGAAAGAGAAAAGAGAGAGGAGAGAGAGAATTGATTTATTAATAAAAAAAAAGAAGAGAACAGAGAAAACAATTTAAAAAATTTGTTAATCAAACATATTTTTTAATTTTTTTGATCCAAATATTAATTTAAAAACTAAACCAAACATTACGGAAATGTTCCACTTCTAATATCCACAACAAGGGACCATTTGGGAGCATCATAAAAAAGTCAAAAGTCACTTTTTAACCCATTTTGAGTCACATCAAGTTTCACATAAAAAGTCAAAAAAGTTTTAACCATCTTTCCAAAACACCTCAAAATGTAATAATTTGTAATTTGAATCTATATGGTTGATTATTTTAGTATTGTGAGATTGGTTTCTATTATGAGGCATCTTATGATAGTTACTGTAAGAAGGAAGATTAGAATTTAAAAGGATGCAACAAAATATTAATTGAATTTATGAAGCCGGTAGTTCATCATATAAATATTATATGAATTTAATTAATTAAAAGGATGCAACAAAGGATGCTGTACTAATCATATAAATATTAATTTATCAAGTAGTTCATCCTGTATGACGTCTGAATCCTTTTAAAATAATTATAAAACAGTTACATTAAGGCCAAGTTTGACATACACAAAATAATTCATCTTTTTGTTTTTTTATCTTTTTTTCATCACATAATCTCTCTATTTTTTTTGCACATCTTTTCGTAAAAAGACAAAAAATACACTTATTTAGATCATTCCAAACAATCCCTAAAATAAAAACAAACAACCTACATGAAAAAAAATATTGTTGGTAAGAAGTGACTTGTGAAAACAATAGTCCATCACATGGACCTCTACAAATAAGTAATGTATAACACCTATATATATATATATGTAAAATTAGAAGTGGTAATTTTTTAAAATAATTACAGATTCGTACAAAAATTAAAAATTTTAATTGTTAGTGTTTCTCAAAGAGCTTCTTCCTTACATCTGCCAGGGTAAATTACATATACACTTTTTGAGATTTGTTTAAAATATACATTATCTTATGTGATGAAAAATTACACATATTCCCTTATCAAAATTTTTTATTTAACATAATTAATTAAAAAAAATAAAATTCTTAACTACTCTTTTATACAATAATAAAATCATTTAAATTATTAATCAAAATAAGTTTCAGACATTATTAAAAATTATTAATTAACTTGATGATTTATTAACAAAAGAGTTCATTTATTGTGAAATTAAAAACTTCAAGGGGTGAGATGTAATTTTCAAAATTATAAGAAAAAAATTCATATTTTAAGCAACTTTTAGGTATGTTTGCAATTTACCCATCTGAAAACATCACATATACTTTAAGGACATGTTTGATTGGGTGGATTAGAGCGTGGGATTGAGATTATTAATCCGTGGGCCCAATTATCTTATGTTTGTTTTAACATTTTGGTTTAAGATTATTAATCTAATGGATAATTAATCCAACAAATTTGTAAGATTATTAGTAATGGGGTAGGGGTGGATTATTAATCCAATGGATATTAATCCAATTGGATAGTGAATACCACACTAATTTAATAAGATTATTAATACTTCACTATTAATCTTGTGAATCAAACATGACCTCATATACCCCTTGAGGTTTGCTTAAAATATGGATTATCCCTTATAGTTTGAAAAATTACAAATACTCTTTTGTCATAATTTTTTATTTAACAAAATTAACTGAAAAAATAAAATTCTTAACTACTCTTTTATACAATAATAAAATCATTTAAATTATTAATCAAAATAAGTTTCAGACATTATTAAAAATTATTAATTAACTTGATGATTTATTAATAAAAGAGTTCATTTATTGCAAAATTAAAAACTTCAAGGGGTGAGATGTAATTTTCAAAATTATAAGAAAAAAATTCGTATTTTATGCAAATTTCAGAGGTATGTTTGCAATTTACCCATTTGAAAACATCACATATACTTTAAGGACATGTTTGATTGGGTGGATTAGAGCGTGAGATTGAGATTATTAATCCGTGGGCCCAATTATCATATGTTTGTTTTAACATTTTGGTTTAGGATTATTAATCTAATGGATAATTAATGCAACAAATTTGTAGGATTATTAGTAATGGGGTAGGGGTGGGATTATTAATCCAGTGGATATTAATCCAATTGGATAGTGAATACCACACTAATTTAATAGGACTATTAATACTTCACTATTAATCTTGTGAATCAAACATGAACTAAAATTATTAATGTAATTAACATTATTCATCTGAAAAAAAGAAGCGGGAGTTGGCCAATGAATTTTTCTATACACCCGCCCTACAAGAATCTCAGCGGGAGTTGGCCAATGAATTTTTCTATACACCCGCCCTACAAGAATCTCTTTCAAAAGATCTGCTGTGATGAGTGTAAGAAAGAATGTCTACAGAAAAAAGAAAAAAAGATAATAAAGAAAAGAAAAAAAAGGTAGATTCTTTGCCAAAACAATAACCAAACCAGGAAAAACAGAGCTACCACCACACTCTAATACAGTTTCTACTTACAACTTTTCAAAATAAAAAACAAAAACTATAAACAGCTCCATTATCTGCACCAAATAGGACCATAGAGGGACAATGCCAACATGAGCATCCAGGTTACTCAGTTTTGCAGCGAAAAATTAACAAGTTTTGGCGAATTAGGATAGAAAATGCATATGAATAACGATTTCCGGTGGCTAGTACTTTTAAAAGCTGTAGATGTTGCTCAAGGCTTTTGAAATTCAAAGCCTACAGCGAAAAATGTGACCTATCGCAGTGAAACCAGAAAACATAAATGCAGAAAAACAGAAGAAAAAGAGGAAAAAGAAGGAGATAAGCTAAACAAAACAGAAGAAACTTTACCTTAGATGAGTCTTTGACTATGAAGATCTGATAAACAGCAATTGCAGCCATTACACTACTGACAAACGTTCTCGAATCGCTGGGAGTGGCACAATGATCAGCCATGAATGAAAATAATACGACAAAAGTAAGTTAATCATCTGAGCCAACAAGTTACAACAACAATTGGCCCGCCAACAATGTCATATGTGGAAACTGAAGTTCTCTTTAATACAGTCAATGTGTGTTATCACTCAATAATCAACTCACGAGCAATTATGGTTCCTAGACTACATTTAGGTTTAATAATGTGAATTTAATTGTTGTTGACCACTAAATGATACTTTTCTTACAGAAAATGTCTCAAACATGGTGGATTGTGGATTCCAGAAAATGTCTCAAACATGGTGGATTGTGTAATCGATCAAATCTGGGAATTTTGAAGACTTCATGTCCAGTCAGAGAACATAGGCCACTGCAACAAATTCTGGACAAATATATAAATAATTATATGATAAGATCGACAGCAAGATAGACATCTATTGAGCTGTATCCCTGGGATAGCAACCAAGTACACGAAGAAATGTTGCCAATTCCTGCAAAGAAATAACAAAATCATGGGGATCATAAACTGCTATATTTTTGTGCATCAAAGGAAGTGATAGTGGTAAAGCAATACATTCAAGTAATTTAAGGAAATAGTTATCATTGCGAGCAAACAGTGAGTATAAACAAGAGTTGCGCAATAGGCACTGATATATTTTTAAGAGTTATACCACTTTGAAATAGCTACGGAAGGCAGCTTGAACTTCTCTCAAGGAATCTATATGTTAAAAATATATATCCAATAAGTTCGATCATAATATTTAATGAGTTTGGAACAACGGTTTGAGTTTGACAATAGTTACTTCGAGTGAATAAAGTCAAGCTAAGAAACATAGATACACCGAAACGCCGATACAAAGTTTCGAATGTAGGACACGACACATGTAAGACATGTGCAAAATATATAATCTGTCATATATAAGGATAAATAAGTATTATATATCACATATATGAATATGTAAGCCAGAGAATAATTTTTAAAACATAAAAGAGGAGAATAGTATTAATTTTTATTGTTTTTGTTTTATCATTAGATTCCAAGTTATTTTATTTAAACTTGTAATGTGTTTAATAAGTGTCTAAGTATTGGGAAGTGTCTAACAGGTCTTGCGTTGTGTCGTGTCCGACATTACTTTCTTAGAAGTGTCTGTGCTTCTTAGGTCTTTTGTCTAGACTCTCACTCCTAGATTCCTAAATTAAAGGGACCAATATAGGTAATAATTTTTATGACCTTTAGGTTTGTTTGGGTGAACATAGCCTTAGGATTAGATTAATAATCCAACAAAATGCATAATCTAATTGGTTAAGAAAATTGGGTCTGAACTAATAGTCCATCTAGACATAGTATCTCCCATATGGGGGTGGGATACAAAATGGAGGACTAAGGAGAACTTCGGACTAATTAGTTAAATTGCAAAATGAATAAGATTTTGTTAATCTCTCCTCATAATCCCACGCCAATCCAAAACATAAGATAGAATATACAATCCAAAAGGATTGATAATTGTAGGACTCACAGTCCTAGACATGTTAATCTCATCTATTCCAGTCCAATTAAACAAACATGGCCTTAGTGACTTCAACCTAAGAAATACAAAATGGGAAAAGACATTGAAAAAATTTAAACAAATTACAAGAACTATTGAGACATACAATGGGGACAAAACCTGGCAGGCTCAAGAAATTCAAATTTTAACAAACCAGGTCCACCTCAATTGGTCCAAGTGAAGAAAATTTTCACCAAAGGAGAAGTTGTAGCAACAAGCTCGAGCTCAATTGATTTAAGTAACAGAGGTTGCGCTCAAATCTTTCCAGCGAGGTTTTTGTCTGAGTAGAAAAAAGTTCTAAAAGGAGAAAAGCTCATACATTAGAGCATCTCCAATCCTTATCTCTTTTTCATCAAATTTGGGTTAAAAGCTTGATTTGGTGAAAAAATTTGAATGCTCCACTCCTCACTTAAAAATTTCATCAAATTCTTTTTAAAAATACCAAGCTTATCCCCCAAACGCTTATGTAAAAAACTTGTTTTTCACCAAATTTTTCGTCAAATTTAAATTTGATACAAGATTTGGTGAAAGATTGGAGATGCTCTTACAACGTGAAAGTATGAAAAATGTCGAATCAATGTCAGGCTTGTGTTTTGATTTCCTGACCAGTTGCGTTCTTTTGCAAACAGTGTAAGCAAGCTATAATTTGCAATCTTTCTTTTCTCTTTCTTGTTTCCCATCTTATCCTATGAGCTTCTAAAATATAACTAGGGCATATTTGTTGATTATAGGCACTGTTTGAAGTCTGTCTTCACGGGTTTAAATTTGTAACCAAAAAGAAAAGAACAACTCTTGTCTTTAAGTGCACTCAAACGAAGGGAAATATTCCAATTGCAAATGCCAAGTATAATTTAGAAACATGAATTATGTTGATATAAATAAAAGAAAATGAAAAAATGGGTATCAGAATAGTGTAGAGGAAAATTAAACAGAGCAATAATAATAATTTTCAGTTTCGAGATTACGAGCTGTAACAAAACTACTTAAGTTTTGCTGAACGAATATTTTGTTTCAGTTAAACTGCACAGAGAATGTTCCTAAAGTTTTGAAAAATTTCTCAGTTTGGCATATGGTTAAACCATTTTGATGGGATTGAAACACAAAAGCATGAATAGGGTGCATGTTTTGACCCGGGAAAATTCTATTCTATTCATACAAAAAATATTACAAGAATGATGTGGCAATATCATTTTTGTAAATAAAACCACCTCCATGGGTGTTTTGTTTTAAAGTAAAAGGTCTACATTAAGCCACATCATTCTATATGAAAATTTTGTATGAATTTTCTGTTTGTATATCATTACTCTTTGATTCGGTGTAAATTATAGAGCACAGACCTGCAAATGTCCCAAAGCACTTTGTGCACGGGGCTCTGCCATAGAAGCTTCAAAATCAATATAGAATAGGTAATCAAAATACCTGCAACCATAAATTAGTCAGCAAAATAACAACGGCCATTTCAACATTAATTCATTGTTCCCGAGTAGATGCAAAGTACTATCTAAAGTGAAGTTTATAGAAGCAAAGGGCACATATTCTTCTATTAAAGAAAGAACAGTAAAGTAGTAATAGATCAAACAACAGCAAACTTAAATCATGGATTGATAGAAGTTCGTAGGCACAAATGGAACAGTATGCTTCAAAAGTTTCAGTAGGGAAAAAAGAAATGCAAAATAAAAAGAGTCCATTAGCAATATTTTCCTTAAATACTATTGTGCGGGGAGCAAATATTCAGGCAAGCACGTATTCCTTTCTTCCAAGCTCCGTTTCTGTCCGATCACTTGAAAGCACAATGAGGGTGAGCTACCCGGCGGTGTGTGGCCGGAAAACCCCTCCGACGATCTAATTAGCACACACCTTAGGGACAGGAGAGAGAGAGAGTGTTTGAGTGTAGGAGTTCCTTACAAAGTGTTCGTCTGTCCGCGTATGGGGGCGTAGACATGCTTATATACCCTCTGCGCCCCATATCCACTCCCAGTCATCTCCTGACACGTGGCTCCGCTATCCCATCTGTCAGCGTAAACCTTGCTGAACATCACCTAATCTCAACTGCCTGCCTTCTCAGCTGGAGCTCGGCAGCCGAGCTTCTCTATCCACGGCCGTGCTGTGCTTCATACCCAAGCACTTCAGTGGCTAAGCCCAAGGAGGACCGGGCTAGGCGGCATCTCGGCAAAGCCGAGCCCGGGGCACCTCCTGTGGTCGGCCTTCCTGCCGATCAAACGATTACCTCGGCTGACCACACCTTTCCGGGCGCCGGTCACTCAGCTTGACTGGCTCCACCATCGCCTGATCAAGCAGCTCAGTCCAACCGAGCACGGCCCTATCGAGCAGCTTCTTTACGGTCTGGGGCGGCACATACTTGGCCCAACTCCTGCCCGGCCCAAGTCCTGGCAGCCCATCTCCGGGCGGATCGCCGGTCATCTCGGCCCCATGCACCATTAGGCTCTCAACCTGCTCGGCTGTTACCTCGGCCCAATTCCAGATCATAGATCTCCCTCTCAATTGCCCCTTAATTCCGTCCGCTGAAGCGTGACTGGGATTACCTATACTGACCGGGATAATCTTTTCCTCGGTCCGCGGTTTGCAGAATGGCGATCAGGCCGGTTATTATTCCTGGCTTCAGAACTTGCCCGGTTCAACTTCTCGGTTTTTCATTCCTATCTTCAAGACCAGCCCGGCTGGCTCCTCGGTCGTCGTCTCGCCTGACTTTCCTGTCGCTTCAACTCTGACGCTGCATTAATGGGAACACGTGTCGTCCTTTTATTCGCCCTCGAGCGGCTAACCCAGCCGTCTTTGCAAATTTGAATTTGGGCGGTTTCTTACCCTTTATAAACATGCCCCTGCCCTCTTCCTTCCGTTCTTACTGCCTCTCTTGCTTATCAAGCTTCACAGAGCTATTGCCTATCCTCTGCCGTTCCTGAACTCGAGCTCCAAGGTGGAGAACACACTGCCCTAACTTGGTAAGTCCTGAAACTCCCATTTTATTGTCATTTTCTTCGATATTTCACACATTAGGGGAGAGAAACGCAGCTTTTAGGATTCGGGCACCAAAAACCATCCCAAACCCTCAATTACTCATGGTGTTCTTCATTTTTCCTGAAGAACACTGAAGAACGGGGGCGGACCGGGCTCCTGGTCTTCATTAGATCCAAAAAACCTTTATAACCGAGCAAATAACATGTTTGTCAGAACCCAAGCAAAAACCGAGATAGCAAAAGGAATTGGTCGCTCAACCGGGCTAACATCTGGTTCGCTTGGGCGACCGAGCTCCTTAGTTAGCTTAGGAAACCGAGGTGGTTTGGCACTCTTCATGACCGAGCTAAAGAAAAGCTCATTTTGCGCGACCGCGCTCACACTTACACTTGCCATCATTTTCCTGTAGAGTCCAAGGGGACCATTGTCCATTCCTGAGGCTCTCAAGGCCGAGCAACAACCAATTACCACAGTGCCAAACCCCTCAGCCGAGCTATCCTAGGCCGGCCACAAATGGGAAAATTTCGATTTCTCGTAGATACTCTGGCTGCACTGGCTGCATTCAGGGAGGAGTACAGCATCCCGGCCGATGTCCACCTTGAACTTGCAGAAATTGAGACAACGCCTTGGGGCAGGGAGGAATGCCCCTTCACCGTGCTATCCATCGT